CTGAAAAGTATTTATTTAAGGTGAATGACCCTACTGGAGCAATTTCAGTAATGTGGGCCAACTCAGAGAGTCTCAGCAAAGCAGGCCCAGCCACCGGCCTCAAAAACCAGAGGGAAAGATAATAGTGAAAATCACGAAATTAACTTTACTCAGCACAGCTATACTGGAGAGACAACGGGACCACATCCTTAGCCCTGTTTTGGGGGAACTGACATGAGTCTCCAGGTTACATAGAGCAGCAGTCTGGGTCAAACTGTGGTCGTTATCTCACGATCCGTCAGGCAGGGTCCAGCCCACTGTGCTACGGAAGTTCTGCTGCTGCGAAGGTAGTTCTGACGCATCACAAGGTGTTACCCCTCAGATGTGTTGTTCCCGGAATCAGAGGTGACTGACAGCAGGACACAGACACAAAATGGGGGCAGAGACGCCACGTATTTTCCCCTGCTTCAAGTTACTCATGCGAAATCTAAGGGCCAAGTGAAGAATCCATATTTTTAGCAAAAACAGCCTCTAAACTGGGTGTGATGGTGCATGATCGTATTCCCAGCATTCTGGGAGGCTGAAGCAGGAGGACCATATGTTCAGGCCCAGCCTGGACCACTTAGCAAACTATCTCAAAAATAGAAAATAAAAAAAGGGCTGGGAGAGTACCACAGCGTGAGGCCCCGGGTATAATCCCCTGTACTGAAAAAGAAAAAGATGATGAAGCAGCAGCCTCAATTCTTTGTCACAAGGACACAAATCCAGGTGAAATCAATTTGAAAGTATGTGTGAGGTAAAAGCAGCCACAGAATTTAGCAAGAATGCAGAGGACCATAATATTGATGATGCCCAAAGCGGGCTGTGAAGACTGAACCCCACGATTGCCTTGTTTATAGAAGTGAGTCTGGCTGAAGCCTACGTGCTGAGGTCAGAGTAACTCGCACCCAGATTCATTCCCACAACTAAAACCTTCAGGCTAGAAGGACAGTGTTCTAATTATAATCGTATGTTTTGTCTATTCTGTTCCTCATTTGAGAATGCTTTGACTTGTCTTTATGAGCCTCGTTACATTAATTTCCATGGAAACCACAAGTCACCTTTACTCCAACTGACTGCCAATAAAAGTCAGTGCCTGGGACTGGCCAGCGCCTTTGTTGGTTGTACCCTGCTTTTTCTTAGTTCTGTTTCCTAGTATATCTTTTTCTCTGGCCTGCATCGCACACTGGACAGGTGGGGCCTGGGACCTGACCACAGGAGTCTCTGTCATTCACTGTATGTTTCTATTTCCCCCTTAGTATGTATGTGGTATTAATGATTTCTTTTTGTTTTGTTTTTTGTTTTTTGAGACAGGGTCTCACTATGTAGTTGAAACTGATCTAGAACTCACTATGTAGCCCAGGCTGGTCTTGAACTCACAGAGATCCTCCTGCCTCAGCCTCCGAGTGATGGGATTACAGGTGTGCACCACTACGCCCAGCTTCATTAATGATTTTTTAATGTGCAATCTACTACTGTTTATTTCTTACTCTAAATAAGTATTTTAATTTGAACCTAATTTTGTCTCAGTATTTTACTTTTTTTTTTTCTCTAGAGGGCTCTACAAAAATCTGTACACAAAGCAAAAGCACACGGAATACCCTAAAAGGTTTTGTCAATCATTTGTTGCAGAGGCCCAGAGACTCTCTGAAATTTATTTCTAGGTCAGGGCAATGTGGCCTCGCACCAAGCTCTGCCTTACCACTCTGTAACACAGAAAGGGGAAGGCCACTCTCACCCAGAAAACTCTGTATTTACGGGGGTGGGATCCCCTTACAGACCCGCCCTGGATTCTCAGAGGTTTGCCCAGTTAGTTCTCCTTAATTTTAACACCCTCCGGCTTTTACCTTCTGCCCTCTTCAAGGTCCCTATCATTCTAACTTCTTTACTTTTCACTTTGGAAGGGACTAAAACATGACTGTTTCCATCAACAAGGGACTGGTGGGGGCACCATGCAGAGACAGCCTCACAGCGAGGGAGATGGGAGTTGTGAAACAGAACAGTAAGCCTCAGCCACTGATGACCAGTGAAAGATGCTCCAGATACTGCCTGATGGATTGTCAAAATGCAATGGCTTTCTTTTTTCTTAGTGGCCCATTAAATAAGAGTGGATCTTATTATGAGACTTTAGATTGATGAAATATGATAGAAATATAAACTATAGGTAGCATACCAGTCAGGCCAACACGAGCTTGGAGAGTCCTAGGCATTAAAACCCATAAACTGTTTGGAAAGTCACCTATTAAATTTAAATATCCTAGGTGCTCTGGCACAGATGGAAATTGGTTACCGGGCATCACAGAGATTTGGCAATCACAGAATACTATCGTAAGGTAGGAGCTAGAGTTCTAATGTCCTGTCTTCGCGCTTTGAAAGAAGATAGAAGTCCATGTGTGCGGAGACTCAGGAGCCTCTGACTAGTCACAGGAGGGTGGGACGGCCACACAAGTGGTGGCCAGCTGAAGGAGAAGAGGAACTCCAAGGTGACGGAAGTCTCTATTGGCTTAACTGTCCAGGATGTTCTTCCTCAGAAGCAGAACTGTCTTCTTTAACTAAGTTAGGTTAAAATGCTGCCTGCTAAGCAAATGCTGTTGATCCTCTAACCCATGGGGATCTTGGGCTCCTGCTACATCAGTGTAAAATATTTACATTCGTTTGCCTTTCAAAAGTTAGAAAGAGAGAAATGATGTAACAGGAAGTATTTCGGGTGTTCTTCAACTTCCTGACTTCAGAAGATGCTTTTAACCTTGGCCCCCATTCCCCAGGGCTAAGGAGAGCTGTTGAAAAGGTTGTAATGCTGCAATTCAGGAGAAAGGAGTAGAGCTAAGTGATTCAGAAAATGCCTTCTCTAGAAGGGGATACACCACGCTGCATAGAAGCGCTAGAGAGTGTTAAACATCTTATAACAGAAGGCACTGAAAATATGTGCTCAATGATAAACCAGATGGTAGAGTAAATGCAAGACTTTCTAACTTGAGAGTTAAAGGAAGAACTGTATATGAGTGCGAATTGGCCACAAAATAAAATTGCTGAAGTAAATGCAAAACGAGAAATGCTCACAGAATACAGAGGAAAAAGGCCAAAAAATCAAGGAGAAAAAAAGGAGAGAGATGTAGGGGGCAGGAGATACCATCTACTTGGACAGGAATGTCTAAAACAGAGAATGAAACAATAAACAATTGAAGAAAAATTTCCAGAGTTGTAGAACAAAGTAGGCATACAAATCAAAAAGGCTCACAGGATACTTCTAAAATGTAATAAAAAGAGGGCTAGGGATTTAGCTCAATGGTTCTGCCACGTGCCTCACAAGCACAAGGTCCTGAGTTTGATCCCCGGTACCAAAAAAAAGAAGAAAAAGTAACAAGAAGAAAGCAATATCTGGACATATCCTGATGGCTTTTTAAAATTTCAAGGATAAAGAAAAATTTTTGCAAGTATCCAGGCGCAGAAAGCAGGTTACCTATAAAAAGGCAAAAGTCAGGCTGGCCTCAGATTTTTCTCTTGCAGTTGTAAATACCAGAAAACAATGGAAAAGTTTTCTCCCATTGTTTTAAGAAAAAATAATTTTGAGCCAGGAATTATATACCCTGCCAATTTACTATTTCTGTATGAAGGTGATTGGAAGATGTTCTTAGATAACAAAAGGTTAAGAAAGTGTATCAACCAAGAATTTTCTCTGAAAAAAAAAAAAAAATTGGCGGGGGAGGGGCAGGCTTGCTATGTAGTTCAGGCTAGCCTTGAGCTCACTATATAATCCAAGCTGGCCTCACACTCCATGGTGATCCTCCTGCCTCAGCCTCCTGAGTGCTGGGATTACAGGAGTGTACCACCACATTGGGCCCTTTCTCTAAAAATTTTGCTGAATGATTTACTGCAGCCAACAGAAAATATAAATTTAAAACAAGTACATAAATAGTAGGGAAGCAATTGTGTGATTTAAAGCATTAAAACTACTTAAGAAGCATGAAGTCTAAACTTGTTACATGAAGGGTAATAAAAGCTAATTGCAAAAATTATTTGTAATGCTGCCTGCCTCGAAAACACACAAGGACCCAAGTTTGATCCCTGGTACCAAAAAAAAAAAAAGAGCTACATCTGAAATTTTCAATTTTTGATTATAGTTTTATACTGCCAAAGAATGTGCTAAATACTCAAAGTAGTGGGCAAATAAATACTGCTCTATTTTTGCTATAGATAGTATACACGCTGCTAAACCAAATATATGTTTTAAAAAAAGTGCTTTTTCACTGTGGACAGGACAAGTACAGGAAAGACAAAAGTTAAAAAGAAAAAAGGTTATATGCTAAATTATTGAGAGCTTATTTCCCAGAAATGAAATTAATACAGATTTAATTTCCTACTCTATATGTTTGTGTATGTGTGTTTTTAATGGTAAAAACATCTGAATAGGACAATGTTAATAACAAAAATAGGAAACAACGACTTACTTTTTTTTATCCTGAAATCCTCAGAAACTTTTAATGAGCATGACCTTTTCTTTTTTTTTTTTCACACCGAGGCTTGAACTCAGGACCTTTGCACTGAGCTACATGGAGACTCTTCTTAAGACACAGTTACACCAAGTCACTAAATTGCCCAGACTGAGCTCGAACCTGGGATCCTCCTTTTGACATACTGAAATCTGTCTTAAGAAATAAACTCCCCTAAAGCCCAATTTAAGTTCAAATAAAAATAAAAGTAGGTGGTGGTTTACGCCTGTACACCCAGCACTTGGGAGGCTGTGACAGGAGGATCTCCACAAATTCGAGGGCAACCTAGGCTATACAGCCAGTTCAAGTCCAGCCTGAACCTTACAGTTTGTTAGCCCCGTCTCAAAATAAAGAAATAAATAAAAAACAAATAAACTAAAGAAAATCGTTAAAATCCTTCAACAATGCAAGGGAAAAGTACAGTTTATTTCTAAATTGAACTTATACACGGCTTAGACGAAAACGCTTGGTAAGAGTAAACTGAACGCTTACTGTCTGGTAAACAGTGCTTGCAGTCTTCTCGCTCATCTGGTTTGATTTAAAAACAAAAACAAAACTTTATCAAAGATGACGTGAACAGCCACGGAACTTGCGGAAACCGCAATCCTTGCCAAGGAAGGGACACAACCGCCGAGCGCTTAGCCGCCCACGTGACCATATGACGCCAGAAGCCGTTTTAGGCATCGCCTCATAAGGAAACTACACCTCCCAGAATTCCCGCGTTCTGCGTCGTGCTGGCACTATTACTGGCCGGGTCTTAGACCGGAGCCTGTAGCCGGGCGCCATCTTTGACGCTGGCAGTCTTAGATTTTGCTGCTGTGAGGACGGTGGACGGCAACAGCTAAGAGAGAAGAAAGACGTGGCAGCAGGCGGGAGTCAGAGATAGTGTCTTCGGTTCGGTAAAGTTTCTGTTCTCTGGTAACTAGACCCGTTTATTGATTGCCGGGGGGCTTGGGGCCAGGG